AAGTCCGACTAGTCGTGATGGCACCTAACCTAACCCGCTAGGTAAGCCAATTAGCAACTATCCAATTTCAATAATATTTAATAAGACAATAAAGTAAAAGAAATTATTTGAATCCTATACATTTCCCAATGACTGGCAGTACAAATCATGAGTTTCTAAGATTAGAATTTACAAAGCTAGTGTGAATAAAAATACATCATCTATTTGAAATATATATAAATAGATTAATAATTCTAGAGCTGTCATGAACAAGGAGCAGCGATGACTGGAATACAGGTACATCTTCAGATCCAGCTCTTGTCATACGTAGCAACATCAGCATCAGAAATCTGCACGCAAGGTGCAGAAGTGTAGTATAAGTACAACCGACCCCATGTACTTAATAAGTAACAAACCTAACCTTAGGTTGAAAGTAGTGACGAGCTTGTACCAAGGCTAGAGTTCAACTCCAATAGCCAACAACAGTTCATAACAACATAAACCAAGTAATAAAAGAAGTAACTCAAAGATAAAATGCTCAGCTAAATCATGATTTCTGAAAATAGTTCTGCCTTTCAAGTGTATCAGTGAAAACCCAAGTCGTTTACCGAAGTTGCCAAAAATATGAGTAAGTTTGAAAACAGTAATTTTTCCAAAACTCCTTTCAACAATAAATAAGATGTTTCATTTTCTTTCCAGATAGCCAGTGTAAAAATGCGTCATTATGCCCATATGTCAATATGTGTGAGAAGTCATGAATGATGTGATACCGTACAGCATGAGAAAAAAACATCTCTATGCATGTATGTCATGTGTGCATGTCAATGCTATGTATCTCAGAGATGAACTCATGTACTCGCACTCTCAGAGTATTCAATCACTCAGTACTGTATATGGCCAATCCAGCCGAGGGAAGATCCATCCCAATATATATACATAATAACTGACATCCAGTCACTCAGTATTGTACGAGGCCAATCCAGCCCAGGGGAAGATCCATCCCCAATATCAATGATTCGGACAAGATCCATGTCTAGGGAAGATTCATCCATCAATATAAATGCTTCGGACACAATCCATGTCCAGGGAAGATCCATCCCTCAATATAAATCAATTGCGCTCGCTGGGGGATTGTGCAAACTCTGGGGGGGCTCCTTCAGCTCAAGCGCTAGAAATCGCACGGATAACTCACGTGCTATAATAAGCCAATTTGGCCTGCTGCGGCGTGCAACCCGATCCCATAATAATAAAGTATATAAAGCGAATATGGCCTGCTGCGGCGTGCAGCCCGATCCCATAAATATCCTCACAATCAGGCCCTCGGCCTCACTCAATCATCAATCTCTCCACTCTTTCGGGCTCACAATGTCAGGAAATTAGTCCAAAAATAATGATATGATATGTCAATATGTAGCAAAGAGACTGAGATATGATATGAAATGAATGAACATGACTGAGTATAAAATTGCAATGTAAGCAAAGAACTCCACAACAGTAACGACCTTAATCGGTCCCAACAGAATAAGCATGTAGCCTAGATATGGTTTCCAACATGAATCACAACTCGATAACTCTAATACGTAGAGATTTCATGATTTCAGATAAGTTCATGTAACCACTCAGTACCACAGGAATAACGGAGTCATGGTTCACATGATGCACGCCCACACGCCCGTTACCTAGCATGTACGTCACCTCAACACCAAACACATAACATGTATAATCAGGGTTCATACCCTTAACTCCAAGATTAGAAGAGTTACTTACCTCGAACAAGCCGAATCCAATGTCGAGCGAGCTAAACAATGCTCCAGAAATTCCATTCTGCGTGTATCAACCCTCGAGCGGCTCGAATCTAGTCACAATTAATTTGATTCAGTCAACACAAATTATAGAAATTTATTCCATATAAAAATAATAATTTTTCCACAAAATATGAAATTACACTCAAAAATAATAATTTTTTCACGTCTCGGAACCCGACAAAAGTTACAAAATATAAACGTCCATTCAACCCCGAGTCCAACCATACAAAATTTTCTCAAATCCGACATCAACTCGACCCTCAAATCTTCAAATTAAACCAAGAGATTTTTCACAATTTTCCAACTTAATTCACCAATTAAATGTTAAAAACAACCATGGATTCGGGTAATTTGACCAATATTGAGTTAAGAACACTTACTCCATTATTTTTCTTGAAAATCTTCCAAATATTGCCTATTCCCGAGCTCCAAATCGGTAAAAATGGAAGTCCCATTTTTAGAACTTAAACTCTCTGCCCAGTCATTTCTTCTATGCGATCGCGGACCACGTCCCGCAATCGCGAAGCACACATTTCCACTACCAAAAATTGACCTTATGCGATCGCGGATTAGTTCATGCGATCGCGAAGCACAAAAGAAACTGCCCCCAAATTTGGCCTTCACAAACGTGGTTGAATCCACGCGAACACGGATCACTGATGCACAAACCTACGCGATCGCGGACTGATCCACGCGATCGCGAAGAGCAACTTTTCGTGACCCCCTGGTGCCTCACTTCCTCTTCGCGAACGCCGCTTTGCCCACGCGTTCGCGATGCGTTCTCTCTTCCCAGCTACGCGATCGCGATTCTCACCACACGATCGCATAGAACAAAAACTTAGCAGCCCCAAGTAACCCTACGCGATCGCAGACCTTCTCACGCGATCGCGTAGAAGGAAACCAGATACAAATATTAGAAAATTACCAGCAACACTCCAAGTTTAAAAATTGATCCGTTGACCATCTGAAACTCACTCGAGGCCCTCGGGACCTCAACCAAATACACCAACAAATTCCAAAATATCATACGAACTTAGTTGAAGTCTCAATTCACATCAAACAACGCTAAAACACGAATCACACATAGATTCAAGCCTAATGAACTTTGAAACTTTCAATTACTACAAATAACGCCGGAACCTATCAAATCACGTCTGATTGACCTCAAATATTGCATACAAGTCATAAATGACATAACAGACCTATTCCAATTTTCAGAATGGATTCCGACCCCGATATCAAAAAGTTAACCCCCGGTCAACTTCTCAAAAATTCAACTTTCGTCATTTCAAGCCTAATTCCACTACGAACTTTCAAATAATTTTTCGGACACGCTCCTAAGTCCAAAATCGTCATACGGAGCTATTGGCATCATCAAAACTCTATTTCGGGGTCGTATACACATAAGTCAACATCGGATCAACCTTTTCAACTTAAGTTTTTAATTATGAGACTAAGTGTCTCAATTCATTTCAAAACCTCACCGGAGCCGGACCAATTACCCCGGCAAATCATATAATAACTGTAAAGTATAAATTGAGCAGTAAATGGAGGAACGAGGCTATAATACTCAAAACGATCGATCGGGTCATTACACATACGTGCTATGTTTGAGCAGAAAACAGATTAATCAATCGTTAATTTGACTGCGAGGCAATGTTACATCCTCATCCTCACATAAAATGAAACACATAACAGAAATCAGCAGACACTACAAATAAATTCTTTGTATTAGGAGACACAGTCTAAAAATGCCAAGATAATATATCTTGTTGCACAACTATCTGACATCAAAAGCATGAGATGGTATTGAAAATACATTCTACCATTTTCGATGTATAATGCATGATCCTACAGTGAATTTGGATGTTTAAAAAAGCAAACGCTTATAACTGAATCTGATCTAAAAGAGAATAAAACCCAAAAGCACACGCATTACCTAATGCATCTCTACCCCTTATATGAATAGCAATTTGAAGGAGTTTAAAAATATATACTTTGAAGACCACATCATTAAGAAAAAGTAGTTCCAATTTTTTTTTATAGCGCTAAAGCAGAAAACATACTTACTTTGTTTAGTCAAATACAAAGAGAACAATAAACCTCAAAAGACAACATAAATAGAACCAAAAAGACCACATAATTTAATTGTCGTGACAAAAAATACAGACTGTACTGAATCTTAAAACTTGGAGCAGCTTCAAATTTAGTACGTATATATTTCAACACGAACTTACGCAGTAAAAAAAAAAAAGAAAGAGCATCCAAATACCTATTAATATAGCATTTGTGAGTATTACTCAAAGGGGGAAAATCAATCTGAGAGTGAAAATATAATATAAAATCGATGAAAGAAATATTCGCATGTATGTAGAAAATCCAATGTAAACATCCAGTCAAATACAATGTAAACATCCAGTCAGTAAAGAGCTTACACTTTGAAAGATGAACACCATAGGAAGAACGAAGAAGCTAGAATTTGAGATTCAAGAAAGAAACATGCATATATAGGAATAGAGTGAGAGGGCACATAAGAGGGAATAGAAGAACATAGACGGAGAAAGAAAGAAGAAAAAAGTTGTATGAAGCCAGTTGTCCCACTAAGATGAACATGTGTCGCCCAGAATAGAGAAACGGAAGTAAAATCACATTAGTTAATAGATAAAATGTCTAAAACACTATCAATTTGAAATTAAATGACAAATAACAAACCCAGACACGATAAACAGAAAAGTTGCGGAAGATTTTTGAGCCACAAAGGAAGCAAAATAGAGGAGGGGTACGTGGCAATTCAATTGGGGGCAAAGCCACCGGGTTTATACATAAAAATTAAATGGAAAAGTAAATTGACATTTATGACGTTGGTCGACCAACAAGTCTTTTCTATATGATAGAAATAGAAATTTTTAAGAAATAGCAATTGGACCATTGGCGTTTTTTGCATCTTCGGATTAAGCTTATTTTTAAGAAAGGAGCTTCAAGAACTATGATGAAAAAGTATATAAATTATTTAATGCAATCATCAATTTCCTCATCTGGGGTTAATAACAGGAACTTAACCCCATCTCAATTCTCATCCCATTGCAATTGTGAGCCTTTTCAAGATTTTTGTGCTTCTAATCTTTTCAAGCTTACAAATTCAGGGCATGAGAGTCTCCTCTGTCCTTGAAACGAAACATTGCCCTCCGTGAAGAAATTGATTCTAATTTTTCCCTAATGGAAGGAAATTTCGCCGTGAAGAAACTGCGGAAGCTTCCTCACGTATTTAACAACGTATTGGAATTGCCGTTCCGTTCTGACGCGGATGTGACGGTGGAAGAGACTGAAGGATTCTTCCGTTTCGTGGCGGAAATCGACTTGGAAGGAGCTGGCCGTGGAGATTCATCCCGGGGTAACGAAGATTGTCGTGAGAAAGGGCAATGGAGATGGTGAAATGGGGCTATTGTTGGAACAATTGAGTGTAGACACGTGGAGGTACAGGTTGCTCGCTTCAACAATGCCGGGGCTGGCCACGGCGGCGTTTGTGGACGGAGCGCTTGTTGTGACGGTGCCAAAGGGCGGCCGTGAAGCTGCAGAGTTTGATGATGGAGGAAGGGGTGTTTGGGGAGGCGGTGGCCGCCTTGTTCTTGTACAATAGTCACAATGCAAATTCACATTTGATGTTTAATCAAACAAATTAGTAATTAAGATATTCTGCTCCTTATACATTGTTATTTGTTAAATTATACACTAGTTAATATGTCATTCTGTTTTATCACATGGTGATAAAGGATGTAAATTGATTCACATGCGGTAGTTCTTTTGAGCAAAAATACCTTCCCTAATCTTCTTACTATAATTGTTGCCAGTTCCTAAAATGCCTGCATAATTTGATCAATCTAATCCTCAGAGCATATAATAAAAACAGAAGCAACTACATATCGGTTTCTACACTCTTAACTATGCCATTTGTTTGCTCCAATACAGACCTACAAAAAGGGCTACAGAAATTAAATCGCTGGATTGAGATTAGTGGTGAATGGCAATTAACTAGCAATGTACTGGATTACAGCTCTAATTATCCAGAAAGCAGCACCTGGAAAACCTATGTTGTGCGGACTCTTCAAAATGTTGCCGCACCCATGTTGGATTCTCCAAAAATGCACTACTTTTGAAAAAATCGACACGCACTCAGCGACATTTTTGGAGAGTCCGAGCAACATAGTTGAAAACCGCTGTCCAACATCTAAAGGATCAAAAAAATCCTACACGACATTAGAAAAAAAGTAGGGAATGAACCAACACGGGATTTCATTAATAATAGCAAATTGAGCACTGAACCAGGATTCCAGAAAAAAACTAAAGACAGACCAAGTTAAATGAAACTTATGGACAACATCATTAAAAACATGGCTGCATTTCATGCCCAACAATAGGAATCATAAGCACAGTGGCGGCGCAGTTCCTAACAGGATACATTCCAGAATAATCTGAGCAGTAGTGCTACAAGCAGAGAACTAACTGTCGTAGGACAGAACTCTTTACACCACCAACAACAACAACAACTCCAACATATCCCCACAAGTGGGGTCTGGGGAGGGTAGTGTGTACGCATACCTTTACCGCTACCTTCAGGGTATAGTGGCTGTTTCCGATAGACCCCCGGCTCAAGGAAAGATGAAAAAAAAAGTAGACAGAACTCTATACATCAGAAGATGTTATTGCTGCAATAACCAAAACAGCACCCTACAAAAGATCCTTCAAGTGATTGATGCATTTTCTTAAGGATGCAATCAATCTCCCTCCTCTGGTTAGGAGCAGTTGAATAGAGCATTTAACTGATGCACTGGTTATACGTCATTCCCCTTCCTTACTGTTTTCAGGGCTCTCCAATTTTATTTTCTTGTACAACAGTCCAAGCTGATCATTTTCTGTTCATATTGTGCTTTAGTTGCAACAAATTTCTTTGGTACTTGAGAACAATGGGAAGCACTGATATAAGACAAACTTATATACACTGCACAGATGTACATATTTGTTCAATCCCTGGAATAGATAATAGTTAAAATACGAGAATGTGCATGTGCACATATAGAAATATCTTGCTCAGATACAGATATTCAAGTCAAAGGTGAGAGATTAAACTCAAAAAAGAATACAAGAGGGCAGAGAGTTACCAGTGCTATCCACAGAGCTTTCCTTTTTAAATACATCTTCAACGCAGGCCCCATCCATAAGCTGATACGATTATCAGATTGGTCATTCTGGTATCTTGTAAACCTCAAAAGTAGGTAAAAAAGGTAATATCATCAGGAGACAAAGAACCAGTCATCAATCAGCTATACCTTTGCCATGATTGATTCAATACGACGCAACAACTGTTTTGCACTCTTTTTTTGTGAGCCACGCAAAATACAAATGCCAACATTCAAAATCTTCTCAATGTCAGCAGAAGAAGCAACAGATGCGCAGATGTTTAAAAGCTTCAAAGCATGTGAAACCAAATCCGTCCTTGAATCACAATATCGACAGAAATACTCTGCATCCAAACCGATGCTTCCTCCGACTGTCCCAGCCATGTAAGCTCGTAGAGCACAGTCAACATGGGCAATGTGTCCGCAAATGTAGCCATCAACTACTGTTGCTTCACATCGAATGTAACTGTACCCATTATAATCCGAACTGATAGTTTTACAACAAAGGATACAGCAACAGTCTCGGCAAAAACCAGGCTCAGTGCAACAGACATCACAAATCATCGTCTCCGGTAAAGGATTTTCTGCTGTTAAACTGCTACAGATTCTGTTACCAGCCTTACAAGTAATGATTCCTAAAGGAGAATCAGACGGTGAAGGCTCCATTTTTGTCCCTGAAGACGTAAGCTTCTGTTTCATATCTGAGCCACATTTGATATTTACACAAAAGGAAAACATATTTAACATCAAGTCCACAAATTGCTCCTCTTAAGCACTAGAAAGAGACACAAGAACACATGCTATCCACCAACAGTGTACAGACTTTATAATCATTGACGGAATTCACTTAAAAAATAAAAAGATCTACTGACACGGAATGAAAAAATAAAAATCTGTATGGACTGAGTAGCTATTTGTAATGAATAGGAAATGAAATTAAGATACTAGCATCACATGAGTCTTTAGTGTAGATGAAGCTATTCAAATCACGTGGATTTAACCTGAGTGGGATCTTCGAGTAGGTTACGTTCAGAAAGTGCACCAAGGATGTCTCAAGGGCTCATTTGGTTATAAGAAAAGATGCATAGTTAATACCACCTTAAAGTATTACTTAATTAGATATAATTTTGGTAAAGATAAATATCATGAAACTGTTATATAGTAAAACTTCTTTATAAATTTTAATTAACAAAACCAAACTTAAACGTTATAGAGCGACGCCAATTAGTAAAGTGAATTCTTCACTTTGGTGTCATAATCTTTGCAAAAGACAGAACAAACACTGCATTACTATTCAATGTCCATGTATCAATATTCATCACATAACTAGTCTGTGAACCAAATGACGATCCAGACTATACCTAATAATTAGACGACTAATTGTTACTTTTTGAACATTGTTCATCTTTAGATAATTAAACATTAATAAAATGGTAAAAGTTTTCCATTTACAATGATCATTCCAAAAAAGTTTATGCTTACGCTTTTTATATATTTGGTTTCCTATAGTACAGAATTCAACCTAATATGGGTGGCAACTCTCCTAAGATTCTAAAGGAAAATTAGCAACCTCAAATTTTAACCGAAATATATCTATATTACTTACATGTAGAGTTATAATTAGCTAATGAGCTACATCTAATTCATCTCTGAAGTAATTGATGGAAACAATGGATCTTCGAAGATACTTTGCCAGATGGGTTCAGAAATATTAAATACTCGTATTAATTATGAGATACACAACAAAGTTTGCTCCTAGCAGCACTCTACAAATTTTCACACAACATTCACATTTGATAGAAAAGGAATCAAATAAAGAACTGATGAAAGAGGAACAACAAAGATTAGAGATGGACAGTTCCTTCGGGGACATCTATTTTCTTTAAATAACATAAAAAAATGATTAGAGATGGAACAGAGTCCAGGAGGCAGATATATAGGTAGAGGATAACAGGTGAAACAGATGATGTCAACATGCTAACAGGTGAAACAGGTTAGCCTTATTGAAAGCTAACCTTTTGAGCTTGCTGACTCCTTTGCGGGAATCATCCAACTGAACGAGGCAAAGAATCCATTGATATCTACATTAGGAAACTCAGATCGGAGATATTGTTCAATCGAAGGCCTACTTCGAAAAGTATATCCCTTTCCTTCTTTGAGAGCCCGAAGACGCTTTGGAAGATACAGATATCTATCCTTAATGTAGCCTGAAACTGAAACTCTTTTCCCTGCCTTCCAGCACCACTTATCACCAGCAATCGGCCAATCTACAGGAGCATATGGTAAACCTTCGCCTGAGTCGTTGATGGAGACTGGATAAAGACGAAGTCCAGTTTCACTGATCCTAGATGTACTTCCATTACTTGCAACAAGTGTGTTGATCTCCCCAGCCTCCTTCTTGCCTGACATGTAGCTAGGAATCTGTAACTCTGTTGAAAGCAATAAAAGGTTAGAAAAATAAAGAAGAAACATCACAAGTACACACCAGAAAGCAAACCGATTTCGGGCGATTAAAATAGCCATTGGAGAAAAAAGTAGTTTAAGGAGACAAGCCAAAAATTGGGCATACATCCCCCCCCTTCTTACACACACACACACAGGAAAACAAGACTTTCATCATGAGCTACAACAACATTCCCACCTCTCCTCCCGCGGAAAAAAAAAGGAAAATACAAAAAGGCATCAAATTTGACCGGCAGAATGTTTGGGTGTAATGCAGTATGCCTGAAATAAACACCCACAGGTTCCAAACCATATACAAGAACAACAACAACAATTCCAGTGTAATCCCACAAGTAGGGTTTGGGGAGGGTAGTGTGTACGCAAACCTTACCCTACCTTGTGGAGGTAGATAGGCTGTTTTCGAGACACCCTCGACTCAGAAGGTTCCAAGCCACATCTGGCCTGAAATTTATTACTCCTGACATTCGATAATTGTGGCCACCGACAATATAGTCTCACATCCTTTCAGTAGGTGACTGACAAATTTAAGGTCCTAAATGAGCTTAATTAATATAAACAATGCACAATTGAGAATACATTTATAAACTTGAGATAGCAGAATGCCAACATGCTGAAGTACAAACACTCTCAATCTCTCGAACATAGATTTAGCTTCTGGAACCACTTTTTGTAGAAATCAAATCCCTAGGAAAAAAAATAATTAGCGGGCAAATTAGAAGTCCATACTCTGTCAAAAAGCATACACCACATTTCTGTTTCCTACTACAAAATGCTGCTTTGTTAACACCTAAATTTAGAAGAAAACAATCAACTCAGTTATCTATTTTATTAAACTTAGTATTTATAGGAAAGAGTTCCATTCAGAAAAGCAGTTAGCACTTAGGACTGTTATTTAAACCATCTGCCAACACCAGAATCCAGATTAACTGTTTATAAATAGCAGGGGGAACTTGCTACAATCTGCTTCCATGTGGGACCCAGTAACCTGTACCTTTCTAACCAACAGAATAAATTTTTTGGGGTCTAAGAAAATGGATATTGGGCCTAACAGTCTACACAAAGCATGTGAGTATATCTACCTATGTAATGGCATTACTTTTAGGTTTTAAAGCATAAAGCATCAATATATATACTGACGTCATAGGAATGTCAGTACTCAGAGGAAGCTCAAGGCGAATTTAGGAATATACCTGAAGGAGAGATTATGGACTTGGATAGACTAGAAGGGAGTACAGAGGAAGGAGTTCTTCAAATTAAGTACAGCCTCAGTCTCCTGGTGATACTAACTGAAGACGAAAATCAAGAACCAGAGAAGATTCTATGCAAAGGAAATGAATCAGAAACCCTAAACCCTCGAGAAATGCAGGAGAAATAATGCATTTTCAGAATGACGATAATACCCTTTTGGTTCGGCCGGTTATTTTAAGAAATTTATATGAGAGTATCAATTTTTCAGTAAAAAAAACGAAGGAAGGTAGGATCCGAACAAAATGAATGAAATGGTAAAATTTTGAGTGAACGAAAGGGACAAAATAAAGGAACGAAGATAGGCTATCATTGCAATTATGAATTAAAAAAATAAGTAATTTGATTCAAAAAGTTAAAAAGTGCCATTACCAAATTGCAAGTCACCCGGTTCGGTTGCCCTTGACCTAAGAAGAACTATTATCCTTATGATCAAATAATGATCAACTTCTTACTTCTTGAGCGATAGTTCCACGATCCCGACCAATAACTTCTTTGGAGTAGGGGCATTAAAGCATGCCCAACTTATAGCTTGTTTGGCCAAACTGTAAAAATCAGCTTATTTTGAGAAGTGTTTTTTCTCAAAAGTGTTTTTCTCAAAAGTTGGCGAGAAACAGTTTGTATTTGGCTAATTAATTTAAAAATACTTCTGAGCAGCAATTAGTGTTTGTCCAAACTTTTACAAACTGCTTCTAAGTATATTTTTCTCAAAAGTGTTTTTCAAAAAAGTATTTTTGGAGAAACTACTTTTTTCTGCTTCTCCAAAATTGTTTTTGCTTCTCCTCAAAAGTACTTTTTTCCTTCCAAAAGTTTTGGCCAAACACTTGAACTTTGAAAAAAATACTTTTTTTGAAAAAAGTGCTTATAGGATTGGAGAAGCTTGGCCAAACAGGCTATTAGTAAAGGGGCTTGGGGATGTGTCAACAGCGGAACGTATGTCAATCAGGGAAGGTTTTTGGTGATAAGACTAGGGTTGTGTATGGAACGGATCGGATTTAGCACATTTCGGATCGAATTTCGGATTTCGGATTCTAGAAAATACAATCTGAATCCGATCCGAATTAATATCGGATCGGATCGGATCGGATTTTAAAGTTTGGATCGAATCGAATTTTTGAATTTCGGATCGGATTATTATGCCTCAAAGTTGCAAACTCATATGCATATTTTCTTTGTAAAAGAGGCAATATAGTAAGAAAAATTAATATTTCTACAATTATGAGAGCACTATGGTGCCAATATAGCTAAATCCATCAATTGTAAAGGTAATAACTTGGAGGAAAATATAAAGGAAGTACTAATTATCCGAAATTAAAGTTTAGTATTTATACATGCCCTAATAATATCGGATTCCGGATCGGATCGGATCGTATTAAAATTATACCAATCCGAATCCGATCCGAAATCCAAAATTTTAATAAACACAATCTGAAATTCGATCCAATCCGAAATCCAAAATTGAACGGATCGGTTCGGATTTCGGATATCCGATCCAAATGAACAACCCTGGACAAGACCTTGAGATACCAGAAGCGAGGATGCTGACATGAGTAACGAAAAATCTTGTGAAAAACACGATCGCCTGCCAGCAATGTCAATTCAGCTCTTTCTTTTAATAAGAACAATCTAAATATGACACTTTCACAACGAAATACCGTGAATTTTTTTATACTAGAGTCTCACATGAAATTAAGCCAACGATACAGTATATGTACATCTTTTTTACAAGCATAAATATACATGATCCAAATTAATAGCAATTAATTCTTGAACCCAGAGGCGGACCCAAGACTTGAGCATAGCGAGGGCACCATCTTTAGTATACCAAGTACTAGCTAGCAATAAAGTTCGGTGTTCAAGTCTATAAAAACTTAATGATTATAATAACTATCATCAAAATACAAGCTTCGATATTATCGAATATAATTAATTTGGTACTAATATAACATAAGTACATCGTCCACTCATATCAGGGTCGGGATTATGTGATTCCACGTCAAACTCATTTATAAAATGAGAAGCATTGTCTCTTAAAACTAGAACTTGATTGAAAAGAATTAAACTTCATCAAGAATACGTCATCTAAATTCACAAGAACAAGAACTTCCTAAAAATAACGATTCCAAGCAAAATAACATTTTCTTCAATCACCAAAGGATCTTTCTTCTCAATCACAGAAGGATCCTTCCTTCTCAATCAAAGAAGGATCTTTCTTCTCAATCACAGAAGGATCCTTCCTTCTCAATCAAAGAAGGATCTTTCTTCTATTTTAGCTTTTTAGATAGACTATTTTCAATAATCTGCAACTCTAATTGACCATTCATATGTAAGCAATATGATTAAATTTATATTGAAACAATAAAAACCTTTTCTCCTTAACTAATATTATATTACATACCTGAAATATAATTTAACGTTTTCTCCTCAAAGTAATGCAAGAGTCAACTGCTAATCTAGGTATAATTTACATAAATCGAAAAGGCAAATGTTTATAATATCTTTCTAGCTCTAAGAATCTTTTCGGAAAAGAAAAAGTTTGTAGCACATTATTTTGCTAAGGTAATATTTTCAAAAACAAAACGGACTCAAATAAAATCAAAGAAGAAGAGACTCAAATTCGGTTATCGTTGTCGTCGCCTAATAGGACTATCGAATTTAGAAGAGATGCAGAGAACTGAAAAGTAATTAACTAAATTGAAGGGAGGCAGAAGAGTTTGCTACTCTATTTGTGGAGGGAGAGGCTAATGAATATTCAGACTTTTGAATGAGCCGGGGATTTGAAAATTAGGTTAATTAAGTTTTAAATTTATTATTATGTAGAAGTATCAAATTATAATTGAATTCAGAAAAGGTTATAAAAATATAATTAGTTGACTACTAAGTAATTAAACAATAATTGAATTAAAAAGTAAAAGTAAAATAGAATTATAAAAGTTGTAGGAGAAGTGAAGGCACTTTGAGCACTTTCTCAAACCAACGCTTCTGTCCAACTTTTGTTTTCAGGGGGCACACTTAAAATATTTGAGGGGTCCTCATTATATATACATATAGATATAAAATATATATACTGTATTTTGCCGAGGTTAACGGGTTCCGGTGACCCCACCTTCCAACGTAGGTCCGCCCCTGCTTGAACCCGTTGGGTTTAGTCTAAATCAACCGTATTTATTATACAAATGTGTCTTTGTTATATTTTTTGGCCGAATTTATCCTTACCTTTAGGCAAAGTTCTAGATTTGTCCATGTTTTAAACGGTTGAATACGTGAAGGCTTCTAATCAACCAACCCATTGATTAAAAACAGAACCCATTAATTTAACTCATAACCAGATCTGACCTGTTCCCATAAATTAATCCCACCCTCCCTTATATTATACCCATTAGTTTAAACCAGAAAGAGAAAAATACCTTAGTCTTCAAGAAAATATAGTTGGGTCACATTGCCATTCTGCCAACTAGTCACAATTTTTTACTTAAAATCTCATAAAAGAGCCAATTCCACCATTACGGGAAGAAACATAAGTGTTTACCCCAAAATTGGGTAACAATTAAATTTATTTGCGATTTAAAGGATACATGGTTTAATTCAACACGAATAATTAAGAATAGCAGATAAATGAATTTAAGATAAAATAAATGATCAAACCAATTGCAATGTTATGACCTAGCCTGATCTTAGATTGAACAGTGACCTCGTCCTCGATTGGACCCTCGGTTCTAGCCCAATCATGAATAAAGAACAGAACAAGTAAGCAAAGTTCTCAACAGTAGGTAGAAGATAAAAATAATCTTTTATTGATTTGAATTGCGTGTTACAATGTGTCAGATAAAAGAAAAACTTTCCCTTTATATAGTAGGAAAGTTTCAGTCATAGTATAAGTCTGAAAAGGGTCAAAATCTTCTTTTTTCGGTAATTGTTGATCCATCATCGACATCGAGCGAGATTCGCGCCGTGATATCCGGTTGAGGGCGAGCATTACGGCCTTCTATCCGTCATGCATAATCGTTTAACCATGTCTCCCGAGGTCTAGGACTTATACTTGGCCCGGGACGCGTTGCTTTACCAGGTCCGATGTCAGATATACCGTTTGCTCTTCCTGAATCTCGATACAAGGGATCTCTTACCTCGGTTACAATCTCACGGACCCGTGCGCCCCCTTCGTTCTCTCAGCGGGGAATCGGGGTAGACATAGCTCTAATTTTACCCGTACATAGATAGTCCCCTCGTTTTTCGGTGAGTAGATTTATCGAAACGACGGGAAGCGATAAATAAACCCCTATTCCTTCCTTAGTATGTTACAACCGAGATGACGGGTCAACGAAACGTATCATCAGTCACGTCGTTCTGACTTCGCACACGTGTCAGCTGCCGGTTGTCTGTCCTCGAATGTGAAACGTCATGCATTGATTGTCCTTCCTCTATAAAAGCTCCGACCCCTTTTTCACTTCTCTACTTTCCTATTTCAAAGCTCTTAGATTTACCCTCCAAAGCCTTTAACTTCTTCAAATCTTCGTACATTGCTCCTTAGATCTTGAAACCTTCATACATTTTCTTTGAATCTTCAACCCAGACTTTCGTATCTTCATCCTATCTTCAAATCTGCATATATTTTCTTCAAGCCTTCGTATTCCCAAAATCCGATGGCGAAAACTTTCAAATATGTGCGTCAGCAAACCGCCCCTTCATCTTCCAACCCGGCCATAGACGCCAAGGTGACTATCCCTGAGGTGGTCTAGGAGCCTCCTTTGAAGAGCTTCGTACCCGGGGAGCCTGCTCCATCTGGAACGACTTCAACATCGATAAGGCATCCAATCAACAAGACCGAAGCGAGAGAGCATGGAGGTATATATTCTTCATTACTGAGGAAACACTACCCACAGTCCGGGTAAACTGTAACTGGGAGGGAAAGGAGGATGTCGTCCCCGGGCCCAACAAAGACATCACTACTCGCGTGGAGGGGTACTCAAGTGTTTACACTTACCCCTTCACGCTCTCCCCGGTAGACCCTATAGTCCTCGACTTTTGCAAAAGGTTCGAGGTTTGCCTTGGGCAAATTCACCCATCTTTTTGGAGGATCGTAATCTTCCTCCGACACATTGTAAACAACACTGAAGCACTTCGATTCACCCTCGACCATCTTCTTTGTCTATACAGTCATCGAATCTTCCGAGAGGGGTTGATCAAGTTCGTTCATCGA